TTTTTTTTTTGTTCTTTCAGTAATAATAACAAACAATAAGACCAAACCCAGAGTACCCTACTGCCGATGTCACTGTAGAGGTAGATACTGTAGAACAGCTCAACCCCAAAAAAATGTTTTTGAAAATTTTTTTTGCATATGACAAATGTATTCATTTTTAGTGAACCTTCGGTTATTCACTTTACCTAAGCATAAGGAGGTTACTAAGGTCTAAGCTTAACCTACCTAAAAGTAGGTGACATTCAAATCCACAAAGTGTGTATGTGTGTGTGTGGCTGTCATTTAGGTTAACACAACATTGGAAAATAGTATTACTGAAACACACAGTTCATTGCATTCACAGTTTCGTGTTTTTAACATCATCACATTTTATCGTGCTATGTTGAATGGAAACAGTGTTTCACAAAGCCTCGCTTTACCCTTCGCTACATTTATATTAACTAGATAACTGAGTGACATGGAATCCCTTACTTAATAATTCACTTCCGAAATAGACATTTGAAGGATGCAGACACAACTCACGAGCCGCCGTTGTTGATAAATAAATAATAATAATGGACATGGTGCATAGGTTTAAAGTCGGAAATCCCGAGTTCTCTGTCGGAAATGTGTTGTGGAGGGCCCCTTACATCGGATTTCACACTTGGAAAGTCAGAGTAGACCAACATAAACGATTTAACAATCCAAGAAGGCGGGACTGAATGTGAACAAAATTAGAACTGTAAACTTTCAATCTGCTCTGCAACTCGTTCAATTAGTCATACGCAGAGAAGTGAACAGGCTCTATCACTGAATGTGTTTTTAAGCACAACAAATAAGTATCAGGTCTTACTGCTATCGACACTGGAATGGCTCTACCTTGCTAAACTGATTCTGTTTTATCTGAATGCTCTCACTCAGGAGTGACGTAACTCCCGAGATCCGAGGCATCTGGAACGCGGCATTACCATTCAACAAATCGGCGTGGCTCCCTGAGTCACGTGACGCACGAGCGCAAACTCACGGCGGACCTGGGTGGAGCGAGAAGTACGTCCGCAACATGGCCGCTGTTTGATAAAGCTGATTGAACTTGAAAAACACAAACTAAAGTACTGATCTTATGACGTTAATATCCATCTGATACCGGTGTCGATGCTTGTATCGATCCGCTCAGCCTGAGTTGAAGCAGCGATGAGTTCAGCTCAGTATCTGAGAGAGTTCATCAAGGAGAGACTAACTGCTGTTTGTGAAGAAATCTTCTCAGAGGTTCAAAAAACCATCGTCCAGTATGAGGAGGAGATCAACCGTCAGCACAGACTGCTGGATATCAGCCGGAAACCCGACAGAAACTCACACATCATAGGTATGGACGTGTTTTTAACTCTGTGCTGTTCAAGCTCAGATTCTTCAGTGTTTGGTTGATTGGTGATAAACCTGAAAGTTTATCAGCTTCTCCAGGATTTCTCTAAGCTGATGTTAGCTGAGAGCAGGAAGCTGTTACTTTGGTGATGAATTCAGAGGAGCAAACGGTGATAGTTGAGGAAGAGCACACACACTCTTAATGAGACAGTGTGAAAACTGTCTGCTGACTAACATTGATGAAGATGAGCGTCCACACCAACTGTTTATTCCATTTATTTTTTATAACAGCCTCAAAGTGAACACACACAGTGACAGACTTTCCAAAGTATCAGAACAAAATCTGTCCATGTTACAAATACTTCTATAAATAATGTCTTTACATCTGCAGCAAAAGCAAGAAAACAATCACTGAAGCAAAGTATGATGTCTAAATGTGTCTCCTAAGTGAAAACAAGTGCTCAGGGTCCGATTGAAGATACAGTGACTTTACTAGAAGATGTTAAACTGGGTATTTATCAGTGCTGTGGTTCAGTGTCCAGTGATGGACTATGTTGGACTGGTGCATGTTCATGGTCACCGTTGTGAGTTAAAACCTCTTCTTGTTGAATCAAACTTGATATCATATTGACTAGAAACCACAAGACTATATATTTTTTCAATATTTACACATTTTATTTAATCTGATTGACACAACTGTGACACCAGTGATGGTGTGATCTGAGCTCACAGGGCTCTAGAGTGCGAGCAATGTGGTCGCAAATGCAACCAAATTTTTCAGTGGTGCGATCACTTAAAGCCTAATTTTTGCTGTTCAATACTGAAGAAATTTAAACTTCTTAAAATTATGCAAAATTATAGAATATTTTTAAGGTTATCTGCTATAAAACGCCAGGCCAGAAAAATCTCCTTCATGTTTTTCTGTGTTTTATTCTCAGTTACTTTGACACAAAAGCATCTGCTGTGATGTTCACAATTCTGATGAAGTCTCACATGTATCCGTACTGATAAATGATCAGAATTATAATATTTCTGACTGTCTGAGACTAAATTGAATCAAATCAGGACTTTGAGAACCTGAATCTAATGGATTATAGAAATCAGTGATGATACGCAGCCCTAGTGAGGCCCGAAAGAAGTGGATGTAGCTGTGGGTAATAAGAAAAGATGAAAAGAACTATTGATAACTTTTTTGTTAAGTTAAGGCCTGATCCATCTGAAGTTCATAGCCAGCTCTAACATGGTGCCATCTGTCTTTGAACGCTGAAAAAACACAGTGTATCCAGAAAACACATTATATGCTGCAAAAAAATGCACTGCCCAAGTGTCCCCTCTCCCCATTGCCTTTCAGCAGCAGACAGCAACAAACAGGTCGTCAGAGGAGGCCAAGATGATGATTAAGTTTAACATTTTCTACAATATTGACAAAGCACTTTAAGTACAAGATTGTTAGTTAATAATTTAGAAATGAATATTGTCTGTATGGACTGCAACTTCCCCCCCCAAAAAGTGCACATGTAAAACTGCGGTGTTAAGTGGTTGAAAAATTTGAGTGCGCCTAACTTTTGTGCCAGTGCGCCTAAGTTTTTAAAGATGCACTGCTGCGCCGATGGCAAAAAGTTAGTCTAGAGCCCTGGCTCACTGTCTCTGTAAAAATGTGTGTTTAAATTATCACTATTTATTCAGACTTTGACACACATTTGTAAAATATTTGTGAAAACTCATCACAGTTGTGACCTTGACTCTGTACTTCTTTGTTGCTTAAGACTTCCCACGACAACGTGACTGCAATGAAGAGGAGGAGAGGAACTCCAGTCTGGACCAGGAGGACCCAGAGCCTCCACAGATTAAAGAGGAACAGGAGGAGCTCTGCAGCAGTCAGGAGGGAGAGCAGCTTGGACTGAAGCAAGAGGAAGGCATTATCGTCTGGTCCAGGGAAGAGCAGATTAGACTGCTGGGGACCATCTGCAAACCTGAGATAAAGTTACACAGAATAGGTATGTAAAACTGATTGTCGTAATAACAATGAATATGAGTCATGTAGGATCCTAATTGGAGTTTAAAGTTACATTTATTTTTAGAGGCACAGGAAGAATTGAAGGTCCAACTGTAATAAGCAGCATGAATGCATCTCTTTCTGTTAAGGGAAATTTATTTGTTTAGCACATTTTAAACAGATGCCCCTGGTGTCTCTGCTGGAATTACCAACTGTGAACTCTATGGCTACGTTCACACTGCAGGCGAAAGCACATCAAATCCGACTTTTCTGACCCTCTGCGACCCATATCCAATCATATTTTCAAATCCGATCTGGGTCACTTTCATATGTGGCTGTGAATCCGATACGTAACTGATGTTTTAGAAAGCAACTGCTGTTTGAACGGTCATGTCGCATGAAATCCGTCTTGTACGTCACTGACACGAGACAGATGGCAATTATCAGCACCGGAGAAGACATCGTGAACGCTTCCTGTCCATCCAGAGAAACTGTTGGGAAGACAACGTTGGAGAAACGTGAACATTTTATTTGTACTGTATAATCTCCAGATTCTGACAGAAATCTGCAACTATCCTTTGAAGCACTGCTCCTCTCTAAAACAGCAATAAGGATCATTATTATGTAAATAACACAATAACTTTATAATTTAAAGCAAAATTGGGAAACGTAAAGTCCGAAACAGCCAAACAATACTTTTGCTCTGGGTCTAAACAGAGCGCATTGTGTGTGACGTCTTCTTTTGCGCATGCTGGCTGCTTTGAGGGTTCACACTAGAGTGTGTTTGATGTCACTTTTTTTTTTTAGCGTGAACAAGCAGACAAAAAAATCGGATTTGATCAAAAAAATCGGAATTGAGCATTAAGACCTGCAGTGTGAACGTAGCCTTAGATCCAGTCTTTTGAACTGGGAAGGACCACTTATCTCTTCTGCATGAAGATTTTATACCTGGGCATCCTTTCTTCCTCAAGGTCCAACTTTAATAAGCGGCATGAATGTATCTCTTTCTGCTATGGGAAATGTATTTGTATATTACCTCTCAAATACAAATAAGTTATTAAAGTTGGTTTACAAGATTAAATTAAAACCAAAAACAACAGAAAAAAGACAGAAATGATATCCATGATACAGCCTTGTGATACAGTCAGTGAAACTAAATTCTTCATCTATGATTTCACCAAAATTTTCCAACCAGGTTGAGGTCTTCAGTGCCCTATAGATTCAAGATGTGAATTAAGTTGTAATCATGGATGTTTGTTTCCAAACAGGAGAATCTCAGTTTTGTCTCTATTTAGTTGAAATCAAGTTTTATTTCATCCACTTTGTTTTTTTTAAGGCAAAAAACATAATGAGCTAACATTGTTTGGCAAGAGAGGGTTGTTACTTTTCTAAATCTATGTATACTAGAGGTGGGAATCACCACACATCCCACGATACGATATTATCACAATACTTAACGCACGATACGATATTATTGCAATTTTTTAAAATATTTTGCGATATTCAGATTCTGTACATAAAGGTAAACTTTATCAATATT